GGTATGGTCATTTTGATAGGTATAATACTAGCGCAATGTGCACAACATTCTCAGGTTTGGTTTTAAAATATATTGAATTTTGATCAATTAAGTTTATTTAGGGTAAAGTAGTTTCTATGCTACAAACATCCAACCTTGTTGTTAGTAGATATTTAGTTTAATAATTTATTTTGTTTCATACCAGGCAACTAAGAAGAGAAGAAGAACCTCACTCATGTTGGCAGAAACAATTATGCTGGTCTTCTTCGTACAGCTGCCGAGAGAAAGAATGATCAACGGATACTCGTACAAATCCATGGGAAAGACTGTGTAGCTCTGGAAATCTGCTATCACAAAGTTTGCTACTGCAATTATACAATATTTCTCACCAGAGAGACGAAGAAGCAACAAGAGCATCAGTGTACGAGAAGTCTTATGATGTATTCTGTAAAAAAGTAATTGAGATAGAGGTCATCGGAAATAAGCAAATAAAGTATATGAAAGATTTGCTGGAGAAATTTGTTATCATTGCTAAGGACACTGAGAATGTGGATGCATCTATATATAGAGCTTTTAAAATCAAGCAATGACTGATGAAAAGTTATCCCCAACTTGTGTTCTGTGTACTGAAAATGAGAAATGTTAGTGAGATTGTATATGTGGAAAATTTGGATTCTTCTGAATTGGTTGAGGAACATATGTCAATTAAGGGCCTGTTTATATGGAAGTTGGGCTGGCCCGCTTAGCGAGACAGCCCGGTAAGTGGGATGAATTTCTCTTGTGTTTATATGAGAAACTTTCATCCCGCTTGCCGGGACAAATTGTTACATTATATTGTTTTGACAGTTGTTAAAAATAGCTTGCGGCGGTATCTTTGAACTTTCATCCCGGCAACCAGGATAGCCCGCTTGTGAATGTTTATATGGAGAAATTTCCATCCCGGTAAGCGAGATCTAGCCTCTTTCAAACGAGATCTCGGCAACCGGGCCAGCCCGCTTGTCCATATAAACGCACAATAATTTTTACTATAAAAGTAACTACACAGCGAGATCTCGCTTACCGGGCTGTCTCGCTTATCAGGCCGGCTTCCATATAAACAGACCCCAAGTCTGAAAACAATGATGAGGACTTTGATGAAGAGAGCTGTACCATTGATTATGATGATGTGAATTCCAACACAGAAACTGAGGGAAATTCTAAAGTCAATGAGTTACAAATTCTATACAATGCTGCATTGATTCTTCACCAAAAGGTGCAAGAAATACCAAAACTGAATCTTCCTTGGCCACCATTGGCATCTGATTTGACAAGGGATAATATTTCAAATCCGACTATGAGGTGAGGACTAGACTAGATTTCAAGTCCATGCAATTTGATTACGTCCGAGGCGAAGCAGAGGACTGGATCAAAATGTGAGGACTTGAAATCTAGTCCAGTCCGAATTGGAGGATTTGAAATGACATCCATACGAATAAATCACTACTTAATTAATTTTGATCCAGTTCAAGGACTGAATGAATTTTAATCCAGTCCTACAGTAGGACACTACAGGATCAATATACTTCATAAGGTATCTAGTATTATCATGTGAGCAAAATAAAGCAATATGGTTGGCTAATTTGCTCGTGAATTATTAATGATTTGAGGCGAACAATGGTGGTAAGTCACATATAATAGGTATTATCAGTGGAGTAGATCAGTATTTATTTACTTATTCGATATTCTCAATCGGATCCACAGTATTTATATTATCAACACATATATCCCTCTCATGGACAGGGTAAGTGGAGGAGCTGAAACGCACAGCAGCAAATGTATAAGAAAAAGTCAACTAGTGTGGACACAAAAAACCAGGCTGAATCGTTCCTTGTTATTCTAGATAGTGGCTAAATACCAACTTATGTCACAATATAAAAATAATACATGTAATAGTTCAAATACAAGAAGTAGAACTTTACCAGACAAAAGCCAGGACAGCTTATTGCAGAATACATGCAATCTCGTTTTGAGCGTGCAAGCCCTTGGCCAGGATCCAATAAGTGGGATTTTATTGCTCTGATGAAAATCTGAGTTCAAAGATGAAAAAATTTCTTTCAATTATAGATAGCTATAATGAAATTATGGATTTTATATTTCCTCCCACAATTTATCTTTTTTATTATGAATTTCAAGTTTATATAAATATCTCTTAAAGCCCAGGATGAACTGGGAAACACTGTTTGTCATATTATTTGTCTTTCCAATCTCTCGGTATGTCATATTGTCTTATTAGCGTCGGCAAACGGATAAAGAGTGTTTCATAAAATGCTTCTGAATTTGGTAGGAAATAATTTGCTTTCTGGGAAGCAAATTTTGCGTCTGCAATAAAAGCCAATTAAAAATCACGAATATTTCCGCGACATTATTTCTTACGTTTGGCCAAGGCTTTAAGTTTAGCGAAATATTTCGTTTGTTCCTTGATCGTGTGAATTGTATGTATATATACTTTTTATTCTTCATCCTGTTTGATATAGGTGGGTTTTTACCTCACGCAAATTTATATTGAATTAGGATGTTAATATAAAGTAGAATTAAACGTTAAAACGGTATTTTGAAACAATAGCCAATGAATTGAAGTGATTTAGCCATAGATATAGGAGAACTCCTATATCTATGGATTTAGCATATGAGCAAGCAAAATATACAATGTGTTTTTAACAATATTTAATGTGGGTGTATTTATATTACAAGGTTTATCAGTATTGGTCAGTATTCCGTGATTTTATTTTGTTGTTTTTGTGTAGGAAATCGGGGAAACCCCCCAGTGAGAATCTATTTTTATAGTCTGCGCGTGCGCAGTGCGAGTTTGGCTGAGTTGCGCATGCGTATTTGCTACCAAAACAATGGCGGTTCGAATATTTCGAAGCGCGAAAATATCAAACTTGGGAGGGATTTTTCTCCCAATTGTGCAACTGTTTCGCTTGGGGAGCAACGGATTCTGATAAAGTAAGTTTTTATCTATTTATTCATGCGAAAATTACGTAATTACACGAGGGGTGCAACGGAATTGCATCTTTTGGATGCTCATCCTACGGCCTATAAGGAAAATAAGGATTAGATCTAATATTATCATATTATCCCCAACCCTAAGGGTTAGATCTAATATTAGCATTTAGCATTAGTTAAGTTGAGATATTAATAGGCTTTCACGGATAAGAAGATCCTACTCAGAAGTGTGGCTGATGATAGGATTTTGAAGTCAGAAGCGGAGACTGGGTGTTTGTGCATGTGTTAGTGAGCGAGTATACTATAGTCAGACATGGTTGAGATAGAGCGTTCTTTTCCAGTCAAAGGCGAGATTCCCATATGCTCTGAGATACGTGTGTGAATGTGTCGGCGTGTTTGGCCAACATACAATGCGCTACAGCATTGACACGTGAACTGATACACAACATGTGATCTCAGGGCAACCGGAATCCTGTCTCTAGATGGAAAGAAACTAGAAAGGCGAAAAGAGGGATGGAAAACAACACTTATGGAAATATGTGGATAAGCGAAAGCAAGTACTTTATCTTTAAACTAAGATTTCCGCCTGGTGTATCAATTGCCACAGTTTTAATGTTGTTCTGTTCAACAACGAGAAGGCACTAAGCAGTGGCGGAAATCTTGGTGGGGCGGGGGCCGGCCGCCCCCCCCCCCCCAACCTTCACGGAAAATTGACAAATTTTCGGAAATTTTGACTTAAAGAGGGCTAAAAACAGTCTTTTCGAGTGCAAATGGGGGGTACGTCGGAAATTTGATTCATGCGAAGTTGAAATATAACACGCTTTAATACATTTTTACATGCAATCAACTTGGAACTTACAATGCGCTTTCGGGCCTTATAGCTTTCCTACTGTATTAATAATTTATAAATGCATTGCCCATTATAAAAAGGGCCAGAATAGAGCATTACCATTGGATTGTTAAAACAATATCATTTGGATGATTTGCATTGCAATTGTCCTTTTATTTTTATTTTTAGCATATTGTAATTCATTGAATAAAAAATGCATTTTACAAAATATAATTGAAATATCACTCTTTATTTTGCTTAAGAATTTTGATTCACAAACATCGAGTTATATTGGATCGGTCATTGGTATCATATCACTTCAATTTGCGAAGGATTTTATGAGCCAAACTCAAAGGCTATTGAAACTTGAAACTACGTGTGTTTGTAATATGACCCTCCGTTAGTAAATCTAATTCCGAGGACTGGGAGAAGGCACGTTTGTGAGATCATAAAAAAATTACGGTGGCCCAGAAGGGACAACACCATTCATAAATTGAAATGTGACAATCAAAGCAAATTCACAACAAACTAAGCATAATCACTGCAAACACAAAGGTAAATACTACCTTAAATACTAGCGCAAACAAAATATTCACTGCAAACAAAATATAAACGGCACGCTGCAAACAAAAGTAAACTGCGCACTGCAAACAAAATATAAACGACACACTGCAAACAAAATATAAACAGCACGCTGCAAACAAAATATAAACTGCACGTTGCAAACAAAATATAAACTGCACACTGCAAACAAAATATAAACTGCACGCTCTAAACCGCGCGCGCAATGCGATTAGGACTTCCTCCTTTATACTTCCTGTTCTGTTCTTCAGCATGTGATTGGCAGATTATTTTGTTGACAATGCTATAAAGAGCAGAACAGGAAGTTAGGAAAATTATATTTTTGCCATATATCTAACAACATTTTTTAATTTTTTCACCACAATAAGTAAAATTCCAAACAAACTAGAAAACTAAAGGAGGAATACTTTACGTAGTTCACCCATAAAGATCGAAATTATGTGTGGAATATAGTTTTAAAGTATTAATTTACAAAAAGGAATATTCTGTGGGAAAGAAGGAATGTTTGTGGAAATGTGATATTTTGCATTTTTTCGCGCCTCTGAAAGCAGTCGGCTAGAGGGCTACAACTCGTGAGTCTAGTGGTTCTGTTTGGTTCTGTAATTTACATGTATACCGTATAAAAATGTCAAATATACGAAGCGAAATCCGCGAAGCGGTACGAGAAGAGGTGACACGTTTGCTTGGAAGCACAGCATCAACTTCATCGAGTCCTTCTTCAGTTGTGACTTGTGAATCGAGGCGTGAAACTAGCGATAGCGAGAGATCCAGTGGCGCCAGCAGTTCGAGATCTAGTAATCCTCGAGTTCGACATAATGATCCTAGCACCTCCAGCAGCTCGTCTAGCAGCACTGTATCATTCCAGGAGTTTTACAAATTACGCGAGAGCCAACGTCAACAAGGCTGTAAGCCTCCAAAGGCAAAAAAAAAAGAAAGACTCTTCATCAACAAGTAGTGAGAAAAAAAACAACTAACGTCGATATAAAAGTTGGTCTTGCTAGCCAAACAGACGGAGCAATAAAAACTCGTCGTGGTAAGACGCACATGATAACCGTAACTTCAACAGCAACGAAAGAACAGATCGTTGAAAAGCCTGTGGAGAAGCATTCCAGCTTCGATCAGTCGTTTGATGACACGGTAGCTTACGTCTTATTATATCCTGACTATCGAGAAGTTCGCTGTGTTCCAGGGACAACGCAGCCCTTTGTATTGGCAAATTACAAACGGGCAATTGGCAAAGATTATAAACGGCTTACATTTTACCTCCTCCCACTAGACGATGTAGACAATTCTGATGATAGCGATAAAGAGTTACCGAAAACTACTCCTGCACCTAGTGATATTCGTAATTATGGTACCCTCTTTTTTCGCACCATTCGTCATAGTGATACTGAGGAAAAAAACAAATTTACCCAACGAAATAATCAACCAAGTTCAAGACAGCCATCTTATTATTAATGTTGATGATCAAGACAATGCTGCAACTCCACAAGCATTTATATCAGGTGGGTTTATACAGTGTCATAGCAAAATGCAATCCTTCCACCCCCACATGTGGTGAATGGTTAATAGGATCATTGTCTAGGGAGTGTCCTTTATTTTATACAGTTGGGGGGATTTCATGTTGCCTACCTCCCCAAATCTATATAGAGATGAGCCGATCACTGAAATAGCAGATTAGCCGATCCGATTAGATTAATCGGTGGCCGATTAAGATGTATAATTAGCTAATTAATCGGTCTAGCTGATTAATTTCAAACCCCATTCCCTATATCTTACTGCAGGTTCAGGTTTAATAAGTGTTTAATTTCAATATTTATCATGTGTTTCTAGGCAGGTTAATTAATTGACCTTGCTACAGTTTCGTTTGTACAATAACAACCTAATTACTATTCTACTAGAAAATACATGCATGCAGAAACCCTCGCCTTGCTGACAAAACCATTGTATTTTTCGAACATGAAGTATCTAGAGCAGTTGTCATGGTAACACGATAATTTTTTAAGAATATTCTTACAAATCTTTTAAAAATATCACTTTTAATTACAAAATTATCAATTTCCCAACATATATATGTTAGGTATGTTATTATACGTAATATAGGGTTTCAATTTAAGATAAAATTCAACCACAAACGCTTCGCAAAACGTTTTAAAGTGTTCTTTATAAAACTAAACAGCCTTTTATAATTAAATGGCTTTATCGATAAACTTTGAGTTTGCAATAAAATGATTTCAAATTCTCGCTTGCAAATAACTTTGCTTTCTTTTTTATTTAAAAAATTCAATATAATAAAAAAGGGAATCAATATTAAAGATACACTGAAATTATATGCTGTCTTGTTTAGTTGTTTCATATACGCAAAGGCCGTCGGGTTTTAAACCATTATAAAATCAATATTTAAAACAAACTTACCTTCGTTAACGTCGGCTCCCTTCTTTTAGCCGATTCTTTCGCCCTTTCTTTATGAGAAAACTTTTGAAATTTACAAAATCTTGCAAAAATGCGAGCAAAAAATTCATCAATCATCAAATCAAGAAATGTTTGCTATTTCGCTGTCGTCATGCAGTCGTTATAATGCAAATTTTAAATTGGACCAATCAGTGTCCGCTATTCATGACAGTCCGCCATATATTTGAGATCAGTGAGGATGACCACTCACGGTTGGTCACCCACGCCCGCGATATTTGATGAACTTTTGACTCCGCTAATGCTTTCGTTTCCCCGGGTGTAAATAGCCGGGGGGATTAGTACCCTCGCACGGCGCTTCGCGCCGTCGGCTCGGGGATTATGCAACTGTTGAAATTAACTCCATAAATATTCACATTAAACACTCAAAAAATTTCATTATGATGCAACAAATCTCGGCTGAACACTGGACTTCCTCTGGTGGGGACTGCAAGAAGTGTGAAGATTCCGGGCTGATAATACGGTGGTATTCATCGAAAGGTTCACTAACATTTGGGGGAGAAAAGAGCAAGGAAGTAAAAAATAAACTATTGCTATTAACACAAAACAAAGAAGAAGTGAGAACGAAGTCAAGCTGTGATAAACAACAAGACAATTTACATACCGTACAGACAAAGCCTAATGGCCCCTTGGGCGCAGTGTTCACTCAAGCATGCAAGCAGCCATTCAACAAAGAGACCATCCACAAAACGAATTCATAATCAAAGTGGAAAAGTTTATTGAAACAACAAACCTGAAAATCAGTAATCTTGTCTCTGAAGTCAGCGAACTTAAAATGGACAAAAGTAACAGTACTTTAACAAATAACGACGCGAGTGTTGCCAACAATGATTTGGTCAACCTGTTATCGAATGAAAACCAAGACCTAAAGAATGAAATCAAGTTACTTCGAGAGAAAAACATCAATATCACACATTCTGTGGCAGACCTAAACTCCAAGATTGAAGAATTAGAAAGCGAGAAACAAAGCCTCAAAACTGCGCTGAAGATCTTATACGCCGACTTGGAAACTGCGGAAGGAAATACGCAATCACTAACTGACAAACATGAAGCCCAACAGCATCCATGGATTACAGTATCTGGCAAGTCGAAAGGTCACCCAATAAACCTTGAGTTAAACAACAACAACAAATACTCGGCCCTGCGCGTCAAGGATGACACAGAAATTGTCATTGATAGTGACGAAACTAAAGCGTTAGTAAATTCTGCTGGGAGTAGAAATAAATACTTTCCACATCACACACCAAAAACAAAGACGACCAGAAAACTACAAGACCCGAAACCAAGCAGTACAACATCAGCTCAACAGCGAAAGATTGCTATCCTGGGAGATTCAATGATTAAAGGTATAAACTCAAGAAAACTTCAACATGGCCTTAAACAAAAAGTCATTGTAAAAACATTCCCGGGTGCGCATGTAGAAGATATGACTCATTACGTGAAGCCAACTCTAGCCTCGAATCCAGCTGAAGTCATTTTACATATCGGTACAAATGACTTGAAAAACAAGTCACCCAGTACCCTACTTAAAACGGTAGACAATCTTGGAGAAATGATTACGGAGAGTAAAGATGTTAAACTGACATTATCAGAGATTATAACCAGATGTGACGATGAAACTCTAGCGGACAAGGTAAATATTTATAATGAACTTCTAGCTAACCTTTGTACTGAGCGAAATTGGGGGTTAATTAAGAACTCTAATATAAAGAAAGATCATTTAAATAACTATGGACTCCACTTAAACCCAAGAGGTTCGACGGTCCTAGCTAAGAACTTCAAACTGTATGTAAGTAATCAAAATTGACTAAATGTTAATACACAAAACCTAATGATGCAAGAACCTATTAGAAACTCCGGTGCAGTATCAACGGATAACCAAAGCAAACTATATCCAAAACTTAAGGGCTTTTCAATTGCGCAGTTAAATATTACCAGTCTGACTAAACATATTGACGAACTCAGGATTCTCATAACAGAAATGAACTTTGACATACTATGTATTAATGAAACAAGAATTGACAAAACAATTAAGAACTCAGAAATAGGACTTCAGGGATGAAAACGCGGACTGGATTCATTAGTTAATGCCGGACGATGTCATTTTTGATATCCGTTCTCAACAAATGAATGTTATACAAATCACAAGTATTTGATATCTCACTGCATATTTAACTGCTAGAGTTCTTGTGAGTTGTGTTCCGGCGGGTTGGAGCCTTAAATTGCTGGAGAACAGAACAGCAGAACTGTATGTAAGTATTTGTATGTATATTGCGATTTGGGGGCAAACATGTCGGCAAATCTAAGATTGTCTTGGATTGGTGATCATGAAAGCTTGAAAGAATTCGTAAGGGACAATCTTATCCTACAGGGAACGTGGTCATCGCCAGCCGGTGAAAAGAAACTTTTTGAGTCGGAGGGTCTTACGATTCTCTGGTTAAAAAACAAGAAGTTCCTTGCAGTTGATGGAAGGGACGCGAAGGAGGTTCGTGGTCGACTGATCAAAGCTATGTATACGAGCAGTGACTTTGCAGGCGTGAATAATAGCGTAGACAGAGCTACAAACACTGAGAATTTTGTTGATGATAATATATCTATAAACCACGGCGAAGTAATGCTTCATGACCTTCCTACTTCAGCGGGACAAGCGCAGTCAAGTGTTCAAATTGATAGCACAGAGCACATGGAAAACTTTAAAACTGAACAGGTGACAGGTGATAAACAGCGAGACTGTTCGCTCGTTGGCCGAATCCGTTGAGCGGCTTGCCTCAATAGTAGCTGAAATTCAAACACATATGAAATCTGATGCGCAGGATCCATGTGGTAAGTGCAAAAATGATTTTTTGCATGGAAAACATGTCAGTATAAAGTACTCACAAACACATACTAGCTCTGATAATCCCATTGTTTTAGAACAATCAGAGGAACTGAGTGATAACAAAAGTGAACATATATCTAATTCAGATGCAAATGATTTAGAAATAAATAATGATAATAACCATAATGCCAAAATATATGAGTTAGTTAATGACATTGAACATAATAACACAAAACCAACCTATGCAGCTTTTGTGAAGTCGCAATTAGTTAAAGAGAGCTTGTCTAAATCTGTATTAGAATCATCCTTAGAACCAACTCTAGAATCCTTACCATCTGTTAACAATAACAATAATAATAACAATGAAAACGGTCAACAATCGCCAAAATTAGATACGATTAACGATGATGGTTTTATCGGTGTTGAGAGGAAACGGAAAAGAAATAAAAATTTTTTCTTATCATGCAGGCATTGCTAATGGCGTAAAGGAGAACCATATATACACATACCTTACTAAAAGGAACATAGTTCCCAGCAGCATTTTAACCTTCCAAAGTAGGAGAAAAGGTACAATGTCTGCAAAAATATGTATCCCTTCAACATTTGCTAAATCCGTATTAGAAGAGAATTTCTGGCCTAAATTTGTCCATTGTAAACTATGGCAGCAAAAAGAGCCTGTTCGAAAATCAGGCTCGCACACTAGAAATGAAAATGCTAAGACCCAAAGCTGTAAGGGACCCCATTCAACTCTTGTATAATGGCTAATCACATACCAGTACGAATATCAGCAAGAAAATATTTAGTAAAAAAATCTAAACCACGCCATGCCTGCAGAAACCTAATTAAAGTTAAAATTATTGGACGTAGTGAAACCAGCATACCTAGACAAATTCCTAAATGTTTAGTGCTGAATGCTAGATCGCTAGTTAAGCCTGATGCTTATCCTGCACTATATGCTGAACTTAATAGCAACAACATTGATCTCTGTTTTATATCTGAAACGTGGCTTCATTCAGCTATACCAAGTTCACTGATCTGCCCTCCTGGTTACGGTATTGCCAGGAAAGATCGAGAAAATACACGTGGAGGTGGTGTAGCGATACTTTGTAGGAATGATTGGAGAATGGAAAACATACTAGAAATAGAAAATATGTTCGAATGTATCTGGATGAGAATAATAACTAAAAACTCTGTGTTTAGTGTTGCAGCAATTTATCATCCCCCAGGCGATTATAGCTATGACGCCAAAGAGTTGATAGACTATTTGATTGATTCTTGTGAGCAAATTTTATTGCGTGATCCAAATATGAATATTATTATTGCTGGAGACATAAATAAACTAAATATCCATGATCTACTTAGCCAGCAATCCCTTATTCAAATGGTCAAAACACCTACGAGATGCAACAATATTTTAGATGTTTTTATAACTAACGTTCCGCATTATTGGAAAAAAGTACAAGTAAGAAAAGGTCTATTAAGATCAGACCATAACATTATTATAACATCTCAGAAAGATACCATAAAAGCAGAAAGAACAAATTTATTCTTCAGAGACGTGCGAGACCATAGAAAACAAAGAATGTTTAATGATTTAGACTCTGTCGACTGGTCTAAAATAATAAACGATGAGCTTTCCTCTGATGAGATGGCCACTCAATTTTACGAAACTCTATGGCCTAAATTCGAAACTTGTTTTCCACTAATAAAAGTTCGATCATCATCGCGTGACCCACCGTTCATGTCTCCTCTTGTTAAACACTTGTTAAAAAGAGAAGGCAAGCAATGAAAACGAATGATGAAGAGACAATTACTCGCTTACAGAATAAAATTAATCGTCTTATCCACTGCAACCAGGTTAATGCTGTTAAAAATGAGAAGAATGGATCTAAGAAATGGTGGAGTAAAGTTAACAGCATGACTGGAAGAAAAGGAAACACTTTACCAGTTAGTTCTATAATAGAGCCAAGTGTAATAAACACTTACTTTCAAGGCATAAATACTGACCCTGTATACACTGCTCCCCAGTTGCTGTCGATCCCTAAGGACACCAGAATCCCCTCGCTCTCATTAGATATGGTGCACAATTTTCTGCGAAAATTGAAACGCACAACATCAGGTCCTGATGACATACCATACTGGTTTTGGAAGACATATGCAGAGATATTGACTCCTGTTATAACGAGAATATTTAATACTTCTCTGAAGAGTGGCAAGATTCCGAATGTTTGGAAACGAGCTGATGTGATACCCAGTCCAAAAGAAAACTCAATTAATTCATGTTCCCAACTTAGGCCTATCTCATTAACAGATGTCATTATGCGCCTATTTGAGAAATGTGTGTATCAAAGTGAAGTCGCTGATACAGTGTATAATTATATTGGGGATGATCAATTTGCATATAAAAAGGGCCATAATTCTACCATGGCCCTAATAAAATATCAACATATGTGGTTAAAAAGCCTTGATGAAGGTGCTAAATCAGTTAGAGTAATCACATTTGACTTTAGTAAAGCATTTGATAGTGTCCCACACGATATATTGTTTAATAAAATCAAGAAAATACCCATTAATCCATATATCATAAACTGGATGATCGACTTTTTGAACAACCGCAGACAGAGAGTGAAAGTTGATGGTGTCACAACTGAATTTCTAGACATTAATCGTGGCGTACCCCAGGGTACTGTACTTGGGCCTATAATGTTTACTATAATGGTCAATGATATCAAGGAGGTGAGTCTCTCCAATGATTTATCCAAATTTGCTGATGATATTGCAATAATAGCACCAGTTTATGATCACGAAGATTCAGCTGGGGGTGAAGTAGAAAACATGAAGCTATGGTCAAACGAGAATAGAATGTCTTTAAATATGGAAAAAACCTATGAAATGATAGTCCGCGGAAAAGTGTCTACTCCCCTTCCCTATCACATCCCATCCATAAAACGGAAAGAATGGCTCAAATTATTGGGTGTCACGATGGAAGACATACCTGGTAAATGGGATAAACATTTCGAAGAGATGATGAAAAAAGCTAGTAGCAGAATGTATATTCTAAGGGTTTGTAAACACTACGGGCTCTCTACACATCAATTGGATCTTCTCTTCAATAGTCTTATAGTCTCTCTCTTCACCTTTGCAGTTGAAGTTTGGGGTGGAGCATCGTACAACAAATACGTAAGTCAAATTGATAAGTTTGTCAATCGTGCCTATAGAAATGGTTATATAAGCAACAGATCAGATTTTAAGGCAACAATATCGAACAGAGACAAGAAATTATGGTCAAGAATTATAAATGATGATAAGAATGCCTTATGCAATCTTTTACCTAGTAAGTTAAATCGACCTTTACGTCGGAGAGGTCATGAACTTGAACTACCAATTGTTAAAACTGAGAGGTTCAAAAACGCGTTTATAAATAGATGTCTTTTCAATTTTATATAAACTATATATCTATATCCTTAGAATTTTAAAGTACTAAAAATTGATGTAAATAACAGTAAGAATCTAATTTTTTATTCTTAATATGTAAACTCAGATGTTTGATTTGAGTAGCGAAATAAAGACTTTTATTATTATTATTATTATTATTATTATCTGCCAGTAGATAGCTGAATTTTCTGTAGGTTGCGTGATTGCGCGATTTAACTATAAGCTCTTAGCTAATTCAATTGCTTTTACCAACTACAATGTATATAAATATAGTTATATAGATAATATTACATTTCATGAGTATAAATTAAAGATGTATATAAAACTATAGTAAATTGAATGACAAATGGGTTAAGTACTAGTTGAACATGAGCAGTCGCTCTTTATCTGATATGATATACAAACTCGAACCGAAGCCGCGAAAATCAAAGCTGAAGTTTATGTAAATCACGACAAATCTTTATTCAATTTACGAACATTGATTTAACATTAATTTATTTTAAATTTTCCACATGAATAACAGTGGCGGCGGAACAGATTTAATTTTTTTTTTGGGGGGGGGGCTAAATTGTTTTTTCCGTGACTCCCCCCCCCCCGGCGCCAAAAAAATTCGGTCAGTGTACCATTTTAAAGGTACAAAAATTTTTCCGGACATATACAAGAAAAGGGATGAAAAAATTTTTTCCGCACCTATAACAAAAAAGTTTCCCGGAAATACACAATTTTTAAACAAAATATTGCAAATATTTCCCCTCATACCTAAATTTTCAAAAAAATACACTAAATTTTTCCTTAATTATCAAAATTTTTTCAGAAAAAACAAAATTTTCTGGGGGGCTAAACCCCCCACTTTTACTTCTGGGGGGGCTTTAGCCCCCCTAGCCCCCCTCCCCCCCTGTTCCGCCGCCCCTGATGAATAATACTGATAGTTTCAAAGGCAATAACGGTGCCTTAACTATATCAATTATGGCATTAATACATTTTTGACGAAATTTTCACTCAACTCTTTCCGTAAAAAATTCCTTGTGCACTGATTTTCTTCTTCTATAGTTTCTAGTGTCGTAGCCAGAACGATAATTGGGGGGGGGGGACACATCTTTATATATTCGTCTTCACATACCATAAAAACAATTGATTTCAAAAGAAATTAATAAAGCAGAACACGAATATATGAAGATTTGCCCCACCCCCCAATTATCGTCCTAGATACGGCACTGATAGTTTCCTTGTTTGACACACTAATTCATTGATTAAATAATTGATAAATAAAATATATAAATGAATTATTTATTTTCTTTTGTTTTTTTTGCTTGAATGCTTAACTGCGGATACATCAATATTTAGTTTAGTTTGAATTCCTATCGTTTGCCTTGGCTCATTCCTATCGTTTGTCTTGACAAACAAACAACTCAATTGCAAAGGTTTAACTATGAGCACAGTTATCGTAACATAACCAAGATAAATGACATAGACTTTTTGGCAACTTGTTTTGCTGTATTTATCAATTTATATAGATGTTTCAATTATTGAATTAGACTAGCCACGGCCGCACGCATCGCCTTTAAGTTATCGGGCAAAATTTCTTGCAGGTAAATTTGTAAAGTAAGTGAACCACGAAATGACTGCGGAAGAGGCTAGAATTAGACAATTTATACAAAGTGAGAGTATCATTAAAGCCTTCAGTATAAAGTCATAGATAACATATACTGTATCATTGAATCCCCGAAATGTTTGTTTATTTTGCCACGCTGTAGGTATTTAAGAAAGTACTGAGATAAAAATGGTCAGTTAATATAAATTCGAAAAATAAAGGCTAAACTCTTTCCTTTATATAACTTTAGTTACTTTTCTGATTTTATCCAAAACCAAGGATTTTCTGTGTATCTTTGTCAAAATTTTACATGCCGGAATCGGATAATCGATGGTGGGAAGTCCGGGGGGGATTCCTAAAAATTACAGTGACCTAAAGGAATCAGCCTTTCAACATATAACCTAGATATGGTTTTAAAGAATAAGTAACCTAGGGAATGAGCACTACATGCCATATTATATCGGTCATCCATAGGGGACATAGGGGGTTCGGATATTAAATTGAAAGGCCCAATGTAGCAATGTCTAGATGTTTGTTTGGTATAATTATATTGCCCAAAAAGATGATAGTCTTGTAAAAACAAGCATTAAAACTGCACAATAAGATACTAACCACAATAAACTGAGTTGAATTGTTCTTATTGGCGTTTTGTGGTACACCAGAAGGCAGGAAAGAGTTGACCTTTTGGCAAAAATTCAATCACGTATAATCTTTCATTCATTTCCACTGAACTTCATATATATCTGGAGCGAGAACCCAAGTCTAATTAGGGCCTGTTTTACTGTTTACATTGACGCCGGGCTGGCCCGCTAAGCGAGGCAGCCCGGTAGGCGAGATCTTGCTGTGTAGATATTTTTATAGTAAAAGTTATCGTGCGTTTATATGGACAAGTGGGCTGGCCGAGTTGCCGAGATTTCGCTTGAAAGAGGCAAGATCTCGCTTACCGGAATGGAAATTTCTCCATATAAACATTCACAAGCGGGCTAGCCCGGTTGCTGGGATGAGAGTTCAAAGATACCGCCGCAAGCTATTTTTAACAACTGTCAAAACAACAAAATTGTCCCGGCAAGAGGGTCATAAAGTTTTCTCATATAAACACAAGAGAAATTCATCCCGCTTACCGGGCTCACGCGCTAAGCGGGCCAGTCCGGCTTCCATATAAACAAGCCCTAAAAGTGCAGCCAAGATGGCGGAAATTGAGGAAGAATGTTGAAGAGCTTGAAGAGCTATTGATTGGGCGTCAGTTCCAGTCCCTTTCTATTGTTTTTGTCTGCGCGGTTTACACGAAGCTGGGCAAGGAGCGTACCGACGTTTTGCATTTTGACCTCGATTTAAAGAAAACACTATGGTTTTATGAACTGATAACTTCAGTTAGCGATACGATCCGTTATAGAACATAGTCTTTCGTGACAGGGTCTGGAAAATCCACTAAAGTCATTGTTCTATCATTTTGTTCGCGTTTATGCAGTTTTGTGCACGGTGCACGGCCAATGAACACATTATATTTCAGTATAATGAACCAAGAATCCAATAGCAACGTTTCTGTTCAGTCATCCAACCATTCTATTATATGAACCTAAAACGAAAGATGTGCACGGTGTAAGGTACGGCTGAACATAAAATCCCAGCTCATTCAAACCGCTTTTAAAGTTTACTGAGTTTTCAGACCATATCTCGAAAGACTATGGTTAGAAAAAACGGGAATTAGCTGTTTACGACCTTCAAAGCTATTGGAGGTCAATTTCCGCCATCTTCGCTTCACTTTTCACATAGACCGTCGTTTCGGATCCGAGGCAAGATAAATGCAGTCATATAAACACAGCAGTGGCGTAGCCAAGAGGAGAGAGGCTCAGTCCCCCAATTAAAAGCTGAGATCCGGAAAGAATATTTGGCTGCTAGGGTCACCCTGGCGGTAGGGACACCCTATTTACGAAACAGGATTACCCTTGTAGGAGGGACAACTTCTGTCATGTAAACAGTTTGCGTTGATTTGCATCGCCCTCCAGGGGCAACTTTTTAGATCTATGCATGCTCAATAGTAACATTTTATTAAAAACAACATAAACGAACAAAAAACAGAGCAGTTCCCGCGTTATGCCTTTCTGAATTTTATCATATAAACGCACGGTAAAGTTGTCTCGGGGGGTAAGGTGTCCCTGGTACACGAGGACCATATAAACAGCGCCTAAGGGTGCTAGACTCAAGGTAGGCTAGTCCATGAATGTGGGCGTGGGTTCGAATCTCACTCCCGACTCGTTTTTGTTTCATCGCTCGTTTTATTCAAAATCTTGTTTTTAGTTTACCGCTTATAATCACTAGTACGCGAGTATATTTTGAAATACCAAGAAAAAATTAAAAACTCCGATTAAACGACGATAATTTTAAATCTAGTTACTTGCGCCAGTCTTTTTATCCGCTTTATCAGTTTTCCTGCACACGTCGGCATACTCTTGGGGTCGGAGTCCGAATTTTTTATTTTTTCCTGTTGCAAATTGAAACCGCATGTAACAACATTTAACGATACTTTAAAGCTAGTTTTCACGCAAACAAAACGCGCTGGATCCACCATTTCGTGGCATACAAAGCCACGAAGGTGTTTGCTATCTGGAAAATGGAGACGCAATTTACAAACACAAATACGCATATTTTACGCACAGACATATTACAGAAGCAGTGGGGTAGGGAGCTTTTGTTTATTGGCGGCAGAAAACGAGGGCCGGAGAACCGAGGAAATTTTTAAATTTGGGGTCTCTGCAATGCCATTTTCTGGACTTTGAAAGTTTCAACAGAATTCTGATGGTAAGAAAACAGCGTTTTAGTATGTCGAAATTTACAATTTAGTAGTACTAAATGGGCGAAGCATATTTAATTAACGATATATTGGAGAAGTTGCACGAAAATATGGGTAATATGTTTCTTTGCAGTTTGTCATGGATAATGTAGCCGCTTAAAATTAATCAATTGTCAGTATTCTAAAGGTATATTATTTAAATGATAAAGGTCTGCATGATTTTGAAAAAAGAATGATTTATATTAGCAAATTATTGGGAAGGCTGCAGCACCCCCAGGTTGCTACGGCCTCAGAAGTAACTAGGGATAGTGTGAAGTTAGTGTGAAGTTTCAAATCGAAGAAGACACTGCAAGAACTATATAGGGTCGAAGACACTTACACTACGAAATACACAGTTAACAAAGGCATCTCATCTGCTTATCGATTGTTTTTAATACGTTCGGCACATGAGTAGCGCGACGTTTGAAACAAGTCTGACACATCAGGAACGTCGTGCCTCGTAGAACTGATACAATTTATTTATTTATTGTGATGCTACATGCGACAACTCGAAATTTAAATTGCTTCACCAACAACCAAATTTTGTATACTCTAAAACTTCATTTGCATTTGCAAAAGCATCCCCACGAGGCTACTGACATGCTAAACTTATTCTAAACTATGATTATTCCCATCATTCTTTTAGCACCCATATTGCATATTTGACTATTATCTCAGTGACAACTTTAATTG